ATATATATATATATATATATATATATATATATATATATATATATATATAAAGATTTATATATATAAAGAATAATGAATAATAATGCTTATCGCTAGGCAATAATGGTATTGATAATGAGAACAGCTGAAAATATAATAATACCCGTATAGTAGCTTGAGAGAAAGAAAAAAGCGATTGATAACGGCAACTTTCCGTATACACTTACAATAGTTAGTGAGTGGGTAGAGTGAAAAGACGAAATGTAAGAAAAATGGAATGAAAATGGACCACAAACGCATTCACCACGTTTAGACGCATGCCATATGATCATAGCCATCTAGCGTGAAAAACAAGAAACTCCCTTACTGAACTGATAGTCCATAAATTTCGTCATATTAAAAATGACTGCAACGTTAACGAATGACTCGAAAATGAACATATTTAGAAATTTAACAAAACGGATGCGTGGATGAATGATATGCAGAATAATGACCAGTAATAGATGCAGTAGAATAATGAGGGAATGGAGACAGTTCTGGAAAATGACGATCGCAAAAACGCTAAAAGGAATATGCATCTCTGAGACACGACTGGGATTAACCAGAGCAGAGCAAAAAGAGAATATTATTGCATCTGGTAGAGGTTATCATAAGTGGCCAAGAACTCTAGCGCAGCTTGATAGCAGAAATGATATTGTTCTTTATCTTGCACCATGTTTTGACGTTCAGTACGTAGCAGCTTGACGGTGGTGAATACATCGACAACATGTTCGAGTTTCATTCGGTCAATTATAATACTCAGCGCTATGAAGACTCCTGTCCGACTTGCGCCTGTTGAACAGTGCACTGTTATTGGACCCTCAACACCGAACTGTGTTTTCGTCCGATGCACCTGAATACAATTCAATCAATTCTTCTAATTACATCACCCACTCACATTTCAGTCGATACTCAATATTCAGTTAAGTCACAGAATAATACCGTCTTCAAAGCTGAATGAGAATATTGATTCAAAAATAACAACAACCTGATGTATGAAGTCAATAAAGAGTTCGGCACTTTTCGGTGGTCCTTGTTCTGGCCATTCTGTGTACTGGAAGTGACGTATGGTCCTCGTTTGTCCGCTCTAAACGAGGATGCGATTATTTCTAGTAGGGCTTGATCAGCAATATCGTTACCATCTTGTGATAAATTCAAATATGAGTTTTTAGCGGTCTACTGTGATAAAAATACTACCTCAATTTCCAACCTTATAAAACATTCTAAAATTAGCATCATAACAGAATTGAGCAAATACATTAATGACCATTATCAAATGCAACGACCAATATATCTGAAACTGAAATTTGTACCTGAGTATCAGTTATTCGGAACTCACGCAGCACATACTGCGGCATATTGTATTCAGCGATCGGCTCAATTACTAACTGCCCGAATTGTGCTCCAGATTCTGCTGGCCAATACTCACAACACTTCTCCTGAACAAATCTCTTCTATGCATTCATCACCCAATTACACCGTAAAGGTCGACACACACTTAATGCTATTGCACGCCACTCTACGCCAGACAATTTTGTGATTTTTCGATTCACAAAATTAATTTCATCCGATGAAATCACAACCCGAAGGAATCTTCACCAGTTTCGTAGTATTCAAAAAGAATGAAAGTAATTCTTTGAATAAGCTTTGATGGAGGAATTTGGAAGAGAAATAAATAATCCACGTACACGCCCCATTTCTCTCGTTTTAATCATCATTACAACAATTGACGATTCGCACTCCCAAATCATGCGCCAAAAATCGTTTGCTGTATGCGGCAATGGTCCTTGAGTGGCTATATATGCACCACGCTGCCTGAAGAAAAGAAATAATCAATGAAACTTCATCACCGAATTACATCGAGATTTTCGTTCGTAGAAAAAACACACAATTTAATCATTCTTTACAGTCAACCTTCAACAATATTGAAGCAAAAAAGTTGGAATAAATGAAAAACATGCAATCATATTAAAAACAACTGACCGATATCCATCTATCCATGAGGCGTTGATATAATCTGAGCCTTCGAGGCCGGGTATTGCATGTAGGATAACTCGAGTCGAATCATATGGTACCATATTGACAAGGCGATTTTTCGGTCGATTCACTGGTAAATTTGCGACGACACAACGCGAATTCAACATTTTTAAAGTGGCCAAATGCTGAAACAAAATACGTTAGATGTGATCAATACATATGAACAAACACATCAACTAATAAATTTCAAAAGAAACGAACCCTAAACTCAAGTTCCATTCCAGAAGCTTGATCAACGGGTTGAATTTGCAAAAGCGCTTGGATATGTGTATAAAGTTTGCCGGCTGGCACTTCAGTAGATCCAGATAAAACGGCATCAAGCACCGAATCATGAATGAAAATATACTGATCTTCTGTCTGCAAATTTAAGTAAATCAGATAACTGCATTCCGAAGACAAATTAAAATCAAACCAGTGGACAGAGCTCTAAGTAAGTGGAGTGATGACACGTTACCTGAACCATATAGGATCTTTGCGATCGCAGAGCCGTAACACATCCGTAGATATCGACAGTGTTTTCGTATCGCAACCGCTCAAGCATACAATCGATCACAATGAAAGCACCAGTTCGGCCGATACCAGCACTAAAATACCCCTTAGCTCTTTATCATTTCTTATATAAATGTATGGAGAAAAAGCAACTTTGAAAAGTGCATGCCCCAGCTCAGAAAAGTAAACCTTTTGTTTCCGAAACAATCTGTGTCAAATATCGCACCAAAAAATGAATTTGAAAGTTTGTTGAGCCAATTTTGTGCACAACTGTGCACAAATTTCAGCTTTCTAAATTTTTGACAGGAAACAGTCCCTCTCAGAGTTCATCAAATAAAATCAGGTTGAACGTCAAACCATCTGTAATGGGCCTCATGCGAAAAAACATTTTGACCTAGCAATCTTTTAGACTAAATTTTTTGACACAAACATTCGCATAGATTATTTTTAGAGCCTTTAAAAATTCCGAAATTAGAGCATCGCACGCTCAGCACCTCCGGTGAAAAAACAATTTTACCCTCCTATCTCATAATTTTGGAGAATTTTGTATAGGTTTTTCCAGGTACTATTCTGAACTGGGACCTTGAAAAATCCAAAAATTTGTCATTCTGTTACGCAAATCAGATCATTCAGTAGAAATTATCATCTATACCTGCAATGGGATATAATGGGACCAGCATCCGGATGATTTAAAGTTTTGACTCTTTTTAAGAACATAAGGAACGGGGTCGGATGATCAGGCACCCCGTGGTCTGGCCAAGCTGTGTACTGTAAATGCTTCACATCTCTCAATTCTGTACTTCCTCTATGCTGTAGTCGCATTGTACGAATAGTATAATGCGCTAACTCCAGCGTCTCAAGGAGTGTAACCTGAAATATTGTACTAGTAATAATATGCATCCTCACATATACATATATATCCGGCCTGCATGGACTGTTAATTAAGTTCTATTAAATACAGCGGAATTGCCTTCTATTAGGACCACATCTTCAGTACACAACTAGAATTGATTAACAAGGACAAGTTTAAATCAATTTTAAAACGAAATAGAAGCTTAATCATACCTGTATACTACCATATAAAGACGATCCCCTCGTTGGCCAATACTGATCACATTTGATACGATTCCTCTCTTCGAGTTTCGTTAACATCACAATTGTCACCGAGTTCTCCTCCCAAACCATTCTCCAAAAATCAGCAAAAGTTTCAGGAAGCGGTCCTTGTGTCGCAATGTATGCCTTCGCCTTTAATCAATAAAATTAACGTATACAAAAGATTAATCAAAAAGTGGAAACAAAACAATTCCTGATAAAATTTATGCCTAGCAAACCAACGGATCAAACAAAATTGAATACAATCACTAAACAAAAATAAAAAAAGAGATATACCTTCTCATAACCATCCACATAATTTGCATTTATGTAATCACTATTCGGGATCGCATCGATAACATTCAGCACGACACGTGAATGGTCATAAGCAACCACATTCGCATAACGATTCTTCGACTTATTCTCATCCATATTCGAATGATCCCACGTAAAGTGTTGACCGGTCTCAATGCTTTCATATTCCTTAAAAAATTCATTTGATTGTACCTTGTAAACTGCCATTTTATTGATGATATTGCCTATCATTATCATACAAGCAAAATGGAATGAACCTGTTGAAAGAGCGCATTATTATTCAGTTTCAGTTTTTCGATATGTGCAGCCAATTCAGAGATGGGAATAGGGGGATGTGAAAGCGTATGACCACCGACGACTCCGCCACTTGACGGCAACAGAGGCATCGGTACTGGCACAGAGCTGTAATTCTGAGTGGTTGCTGATGAAGTGGGGTGATGCGTTTGATGAAGAGGATACATATCCACCGAAGTCTCGATTGCACATCCACCGTTTGCATTCATCTTAATCAAGCAATATTAATTCATTGATACATGCTTCAATCCAACTGGCTTGACAAATCATAATCAAATGCACCTGATCGTACGGATTCATTACTTGTCGTCCATAAACATCACCCGAGACGAGCAATTTAGACGTTTCGCTGGGAATGCTACTTCCAGCAAGTGCAACTTTTGTGATTGAACCATGACGATTTGCACCACGATTTGATCCTTTCTTATTACATCGCAACCACCTTAACTATGTTTCATTGACTCAATGACCGATCAATGCAAATCATTTATGCAAAATTACTATCCGATATTTCTAGTTTCTGCACTCTAACCAATTCACCAAATAAATCAACAAGTGAATCATTAATCTTCGCACAACTGAAATTTTTTAGTAGCATTGGAGACGAAGCGGGCTCCTCCAGCCCGACTGGAACCATTTCAATACGCAATGCGAGATTTAAAAAACGGAATTTCAACACATGCCCGTGCTTGAACATGTTGTTATACAGCTAAAAATGAAAGTGAACAAATAAGACATTCCATTATCTAGTTTTCGAGTGGTCGCGCACCGCAAGGTTGCAAAACAACGGAGCAGCAAGAAATAGTTTCCGTAATCAAGTATTCGTGAGGTCTGGATGGGTTTTTAGTTCCTGTTGTGTGATTTTTGCTCGGTATTCGTTTTATGTCTGCTAAAATATCCTCAGATGATGAAATTAGTGGATGCTTATTCGAAGACAGCGATGAATATAATTCTGATGACTAGATATTCAAATGATGCGTTGGTTGAAATTTCCGCTGATAAATTTGTTGTGAATTCTTCATATGTTTAGGATGTTTTTACAGCATTTTTTATTGCTTTTTCTTTTTTCCATCCCTATTATCCACTCATGAATGAGGCGCATAATGAAAATCATTTTTCACAGATCGCGCTACAATAGTATCTTGAACCAAGAAATTTCCATTAGGGCTTGTACTGTTTGCTACTTTATCATGTTTACAATTTTTTCCTTCTTGATTTTCACTGTCGTTTTCTTGTTCTGAATTCACTTTTCAGTTCCATACGAACGATAGTAATATAATCATGTTTTATAGTGCATACTACAATTGCCGTCTGTTTGCGCATGCTGATACTGTTCGTTGTTCTGATGTATGTTTGAGAAGGTTGAAACAAGTTAGAATTCCTAAAGAACAACAATTACCATCATTTTATAGGCTTAAGGACGCCTTGATAATGACAAAGTTTTGGCCGGGCCAGAGATGCCCGATTTTTCTCCGATGCCATAAAAATGCTGTAAATCGCGCGCTTAATCCGCAAAAGCTCTTTTCTTTTTTCATTTTTCTGGTTAAGGTGAAAAAAAAAAGAACAAAGTCACAACATCCCAGGTTTGTGGCTATAGTATTCGTGAAGCTTAAAAGAGTGAAAATTGACGCCGGGCCTCGCAGGTCCGTTCGTCTTGCAAGAGTTAAAACTAATAATTATCATCATACTCAATGAATGAATCGCGAAATGATAAAGTAGGCTACTGCTGGATACCTACCATATAACAAGCATTCCAACAATCAACGCTATAATTAGGACGGCGACAAGAGGTGCTATCAGCCAGAGATTAGAAGCACGAGCATCACGAGTATGAGCAGCCATCTTTGTTGAGAAAGGTTCGCTTAACATTGAATCCGAATAACGCTTTGCTAACGGTTCTTGCATTGGAGCTCGATATTCGAACTGCAACTTAATGATTCGATTTCAATATCAGAAAAACTAACTGCAGAAAAAACAATATGAGTTTTACACACAAACACATGCTCACTACGGAAAGAATTTTTTATGAACACCAAAGTCGATGCACATGTCAGATTTTGTGTATGTAAAAATTAACGGGTGAATTTGACAAACTGATTTGAAATGACTCAGAGAGTGTGGAAAATTTCTTGAAAAATAGATCTAAAATTGTGAATAAAACAAAGAAGAAAAATTCACCGGACGTTCGTTATTTCTAACACTGTCCTCCCTCGCAAATGCACGCATCATCAACCGGTAACGACTGTTACTGTCTAATGGCCAATTTTCGTAGCCATCATATATCTACAAAAGATCAATCCTCAAGCACAAACTAACAAATACTGCTCACCCAACGAATGTTGTTACAAACGTTAATGTTCAGTCAAACAGCAACAAATAATCAAATCAAAAAACATCTTACTTGCCCATCACCAAGCGGAAACGGTCGGTCATCACGCTGCATTTGTTGCATTTCAAGAACCGGAATACCGGCTGCAATATAAGCGCCCCGTACCATGCGAGGTTCATGCAGGAAACGCCTGAAAAAGTAAGAAATTAATAACACAAATACGCTGTGAGTTCAATAAACAATGAACTGATTTCATATCTTGATAAGTTTTTATCGTATCATGAAATGGAACTTCCAAGCAATGAAATTATGTCGCAAATGGACATGTCCATTTCATTTTTCAGTGACAGTAACATCAAAAGGACGGTGATATGAAAAAAGCAAGTGACTTGGATGCATGAATTATGTACCTGTTGTGAGTATTATGCTTATTCGCTTTACGTGCTTTCTTTACAGTGTGACCGCTGTCACCAGCAAGCACTGAGCGATGTGATGCTCCCAGGTGCTCGCGACGGGGTTTCATATGAGCAGTGCTTTTTTGTAGCGAACTCGAATCCAAATTCAACACATCATCCTGAATTATCGAAACCTTACTTTTTTTTNTTTTTTTTCGAAAACTTATAGGAGGGATCAGAACAAGCTGTAACTTGATGAGACATCAAATACTGACTGCAAATAGAACCACTGGGTAAGCTTAACTAACACCAAAACATAAAGATTTTAAATGTTGAAAATAATACGACTGTCGAAACTGACAGCCTAAGTTTTCTTCAGAGTTTATAGAAGAAGGGTGAATGGACCCAAATAACTGACACTATCAACATTTGAAAACGAAAACCGCTCGAACCACGAACAGAATAACAACCATTTTAATTCATTTACTGAGTAGTGCTCAACGAACCTGAGTGAAATTGCCCGGAACAACAATAAGCCAATAATGACTGATTGGGCCATATTCTTCACTAGCACATCTAAGCCTTATTAACGCAGTGCCAGCCTCTTGAGATTCCAAAAACTCAGGAACATCAACGAATGGTGGTCCTGCTGGGTCAGTCCTTACGACCTTTTCTTGAGGCCAGTACTCCTTCTCGGACGGTGGTAATTCGCGAACACCTACGTGAAATGTATATTCCATATATGGTCGCAGCGTCGTCCATCTGGAAATACAAATTAAACACAAAACAATATAACGAATCGCTTGGTTATTGAGAAACAAGCTATTGCGAACTTACAGGTGCTCCCTTTGACGTCCATCTAGCTCTTGACGAAAACCTGGTGAGACCATCCCCTTCAGCTGCAGATGCTGATCAAAGTAGTCTTTACGACCCGTTTGGTTCACATAGAAACCAATTGGTTGAGGTCCTGAATAATCCCATTTAAGCATCACTGAATTGCTCGTCTTCCATGCAACCACCAAATTCGAAACCATATGAGTTGGCATAAGACGGTCGATTGTTGTTGGTGGATCCGAGCACGCACCTTGCCGCTGCAACATTCATCAATGCATCTTCTTAATGCTATCAAAAACAAATCAAAAACAAAACGCACGTTCTGTCGGATGGCAAGAACACAGAACGCGTATGGTTTATGCGTCGTCAACTGAGCGATATGCAGATGCCTGGCCGATGGGTCCATTATTGTCATCGCTTTCCAACGTTCACTATCTCTTTGTCCGGACGATGGTTCGTGGATGTATTTAACCACAAAGCCATCCACTGATTCGCCATCGAAATCCCACTGCACAACCGCCGAACTGTTTGAGGTGGCTTGCACACGAATATTGTTCGGCGGACTCACCAGCGCTGTACAATACAAAACGTTATGATTGAATAATCTATCCGTGAGCAGGTGATATTGCACAAAAACTTACAAATAAACCAATTTTCACTTACACATATGATTAACTTCTCCGATTTTTATTGTGATGGAAAACTTTCTAGGATAAACGCTACAGTGTCTCTCAGTCTTTTCGAAAAACGTATTGACTTAATCAGTCACATTACTACATCGTACCCATCCGAGTAGTACTTTGCTGTGGCTGACTAAATTTGCATGCATTTTCATCCCACCACCTGTTAATAATAACTATTCAGTTGATATTTTCCCAAACGAACAACGATGTGGAATGGACATGTCGACCTTTTGTCTCCAACAGTGCGTCAATTACAGCTGAGAAAATATTTTGTTGGTTATTTGATGGATACAAAGCTGGCAAAACATTGGAGGATGATGCATTTGACGATGACGAAGAATGATCACTTAGACTGTGAATCATCAAGGTATCATCTTCTCTATCGTTGCGGTCGCTTTGTTGATCGAACGATGGAGATGAGAATGATAGGGACGACGCCAAGGACTGGTAACGGGAATAATCAGAATCGGAATCCAGCTGAGGACGATGACTGAAGTTTTTATTGAAATGGCCGCTGCTTTTCTCATCCACATCAATAGGAGCATATTTTGGTGATTGTTGATTATTGTTGTACTTCAACTGAGATGGTCTACTGATGCTGCGAATGTTTAACGATGGTGATAAAAGAGTTGAGACTCTGTGACGATAGGGTAAGGATGACAGTGACAAAAAGGAATGATTGAATGCATGCGAATTTGATGGAAGCCGTTTACTTGGATGGTCGGTATTTGTCGGATTATTTGTTACCAGCAACATGCTTTTATGATTGAAATTAATGCTTATGGCTAATAATTATGCACATATGTTCATGCAATTGAGTAAACTATGAGGAGGTGCATTAAAAGAACGAATAGGATGTGGCAATGACAGTGACTCCTCATTCAGTACGAAGTTTCGCTTTGAAATACGATAAGCGGTAGCCTGCCACCAATGTGATGCTTAACGATACACCGTTACTCCACAAACAATCAATCAGAGCACGAATAACTACCTAGCTCTAGCTGAATTCACTGCCAATAATGATTGGAGTTTATGAAAAACAAGAATATTCACAAGATAAGAGAGTTGAATAAGAGCGAAGTGCGTGAGGTGAGGTGAGATGAATGAAACGGAGTTTAGTGAAGTTGGAATGGAATGCATTACTATTATGTAGAAGCGTATGATTTACATAAGTATGTAAGACTATTATTATATTGTTGAATATTTATGAGGAGTGGAAGTAGAAGCGGAAGCATCATGCTCTTTATCGGTGAATTGCTGCTGCTATTCATGATCTATTAAAACATAATGTTATGTGCCTAACAATATACACTGTTGGACATACCTTACAGCATTGCATTCAAACACACAACCGCTAAATTATGATCATTCTCAGTAATAGCACTCATATAACCGAATTGAATGAACCCATCACAAATTAATTAACTGAATCAAATCAGTGCTGTAGCATGATCTATACACCTTCTGATCTAACTGAATCACGATCTATCAATGCATTCAACTTTGATTAGCATTCATCCATTAGTATTATCGTTTCATCTAGGTCGACTGAATGTGGAAGAAAATTTTCAAGAAACCATCGACTACAATTTAATAATATCATAAAACTTTCCAAGCAAACAGCAGGATAAAGTTGACAAATACCTGATCATTATTCCTTGAACAGCACTCATATAACCTAACTTTACATGAACGAAATACTGGTATATGTGATATGCATAAATAATTTTAATAAGCAATGACCGAATGAGATATATACTGAGCAGACAAACTGAGCTAGAAAATGCAACAATGGCACAGCGAGTAGTGAAGTAGATTGAAGGCATTCAGGATAGTACTTGGGAGTAGAATCAGATGAACAGTTTACATGATTATGGCGGTAGCATGCAACCTCCACAATTACTCATTAATTGTTATGGACGGATGGATCTTATGCCAATTCATTGAATCCAGCGAGCGAAACACGAACGAATCAGTCCAATATGAAAGTGTCAACATTTAATAATGCATATATATTACAATACTTCACGAACATACAGCCCACAGCATAATGACAGCAATGATACGCGCAGATGCAGTGAAAGCATTGGCACCATCGTCATTCGGACCGAATACAGATGTCAATCATTCAATAAAAAAAGCTGATTAAAATAAAATATGGATGTAGAGAAGAAATGGAAGCAGCCCAATAATTGAAGGGCACAAACATCCGATATAAATAAATCACACGTGTTTCTGCACTGCTAATATTCATAAATGCACCTGTTTTTACGGAAGCATCAGTGGGTAATTGGACGGAGTGGGAATATAAAGCAAGGAAACGTCATAAATCATTTACAAAATTTAAGTGAAACAGTAGTGCTGCTGTGAGCACACTTCCAACCGTTCGCTTAATTATCAATCATATGGCACAACAACGACTCTCTAAGCGAATAGTCATATTCCATTTAAAACATTTCCATGTATCTATGCTCCAAAAAATCCATTTCAAGCATTTTGCTCGCAACCTATGCGTCCTCTTTTTCTTAGTTTTATTCTTCTCTTATAAGGTTCTTTAATGTACGCGCCTCAAAATAAGTAAGTTGACATCTTTATTACAATTGCAATGAGTCCAACAAAACGGATAATCGCCAAACAACAATTCAACTTTCAAACACGCTATCGCTTGGATTCATAGATGATGTGCTCGAGTGGAAACACGTTTGAATTAATTACAGTTTGAAAGAGACCAGTGAAATTTTTCAGAGTGACTGCTGTGAAAAAAATCAATCTGTTAATATCATCCACCACATAATCACTTAGCTGAAAAGAGGTGAATGAGGTCTCTAAGTGACGGACTAAACAAATGAAAACAAAATATCGATTCACTGTGGGCTGCTTGCAGCGCTCACCGTTATGAGGATGTTGAATGACGGCGACGACACGATGAGGTGGTGAACGATTTATTGCTGCTTCATCACCAAAATCAGTTTCTAGATTATTCAATGAATATTCAACGTTACTGCTACTCTTGCTACCAGTATAGACTTTCTCAGCGCTGTGCATTAGGTGATCTGTGATTGCTCGTAATGTCGTTGTGAATTTGTTGGATGCGTTCTGAGAGAATGACTGTTGCAATCCATTAAACGGTGGAATATCTAAAGGTCCTGGAGCGATTGCATTCACAATCGCATCAAAATATTCAGCCGTTGAAACACGACGTTCATCCGATTGTTGATAATGCTTGCTTTTATTATGAACATTATTAACAAATTTATTGCTATTACGATCCGCATCATCACTCCAAACACTACCATCCAATCTATCATCGATCGATGCAGTGATTCGTGCTAAAATTGAACAAGAAAAGAAATGATATAATTTGGTGAAGATGTTGGCTGCTGCAGTAATTTTCTGCAAATAATTTCATGAATTTATGCAACTAACCATGTACTTTTTTGTGACTGTTAATTCAGGCTTAGCGGATTGAACAAGACTGATACAGTAAGATAATTTTGAGACCATGAAGGAACTTTGCCATTGATTATTATTAATTAGTAGTACATCGTCAATGACGAACTTTAGCGATGTGATAGGTCGAAGACACAAAAGGTATGGAGATGAATTCGAGAATTCTTAAAACAACTTGAAAGAAAAAAAATTACCTCATCTAACAAATACGTAGAAAGGAAAGATGAGGAAAATATGAATGAAGTGCAAGAATAGACATGTCTCATGTTTCATGATGAGCAGAAAAACAGAAGATGATGACTTGATAATGACAGCAATGATGCAGTTAAAAAGCAAAAGCTTTCACCGCACCATTCACTAAGGCACTTCTTTCACAAAGCAAAAAAATGCTTAATCGCTGAAGATCGAGATTTGTTATAATAGTTTAAAAACAGAACAAATAGCTAAAAGAAGAGTGCTTGTAGATGTTGAATTCACTAGGGTGAAAGACTCGTTAGTAACAATGGTAGTACTACCACTACTGTCAATAATAACAGTAATAATAAGAGTAGTAACAACGGAAGTAGTAATAGTAATATTAGTGATAATAATAATAATAGGAATGATGATAATGAAGTAATAATGAACGGATCATGCCTGTGCTAGTAGCCTCTTTCAGAATATTCTGAACGTGCATTTTGCGTAATCTTTGTTGTTGTCGTGCACGTGCTGCACCAATACGTTGACGACTCTGTCGTTTCAAACGCACCATTTATTTGCAGGAGATTATAATACTCACTGATTGCGCGATGAAAGAATCAAGAGTTAATTCATCACTGCATTAATCCATTATTAACCTCTATCTTTATATTTCATCTTTGATTCAATAATCATCAAATGAATCAGTACTGTAATCATAAATTATCGTCTTTATGCAGTAACAATACAATACTCAGCAAAATTTTAAGAAGGTGATTCAAAATTTACGTCGTTATGGCATTCGAACTGTGAAACATTATGAATGGCTCAACAACAACAGAATTTAGATGACGGCGCTTAACGAAAAGCTTTGTAAAGGAAGGATGTTATGATGAGATTCTGTTCATGGTTCAACATTTTGAAAAGAACATCACCCACCACAACAAATGAAAGATGCATCTGAAACCACTCAAGCAATCAAATCAGAAGAAAACAACGAAATGTTGATTACAGTTTCAAACATAAGCAACATCTTTGAATTTTCTCGGAACTGATCTAAACGAGTTCATTCGACTAAATAGCACGTGCAACATGGCAGTCGAATGAACGTTCTTTTCTTGACGTGACAAGCGATCATATTCAATAGTTGTTGTAGTTTGGGGTAGTATTAATTGCATAGAATCTTTTTTTGACGACTAAAATTTTCTCTTTTACAATTGACTAAGAAATTTTCAACTGCACTATGTACACGAGATAATTACTCTCCCTTACGATTACATGTTTATGCATAATACAAATGTCTGACTTTTTCAATTACACACGGCTGTTGTACCATTCGATTTTGTTTTTGTAGTGAAATGTCAACTAACCATAACGAAGAATCAATTCTATCAAATTTGAGAGACGTTAAATTAGTGCGTAAGAATCATAAAAATTTTTGGCACCGATGAATCATTGATGGGAAAGTAAGAAAAAAAATTTAATGACAACAAAAGAATATTATTTTTACTACGGCTATCATTCAAAGCGTACTGAATAGATTTTAAGCGCTCAAAATAAGTGCTTATGGTTCAGAATACGCCAACGAACGTATGTGTATATATATGTATCAGTGATTTCACAACAGACAAATCATGTATTCCTTATTCATCATTCACCAACTGCAACAATTGAAAAGGGTGCACGTTAACCTTAAAAAATGAAGTCCCACTGATATGAACACGCAAACGTTTGCGATTGTCGTGCTATTTATTCTATGTTGTGATCAACAGACCGCAACTGCTTCATGAAATGAACGCGAAATGTATCCAGTTTAAGCATGAGAAGCTTAACGCTTTAAAATTTCAAATCATGGTCAGCTGGGCGTGGAGCGTTTTCAACAGTATTTTCCCCACATCTTATTAACAAAATTTTTTGAAAAAAAGACGAAACTCCGAGAATTAGATTCGCATTCTGCCTAAAAAATTCGATTACCAGAAAACACCGATCGATCTGAAATGGCGCTCTCGTTCCCCAAATCAACAGTAAACTCACTGGGATACACCATTTTTTCACGTGACAAATTGAACGAAATTATTCGCAGATTTACCCTAACAACGATCAGATAAAACGCTATCAAACGCACCATATCCTTCCAAAAATACGTTTATTACTGTTTCCCATACACTTATCTATTTCCAGAACACTCCTTATGTCGTTGAACTTTTCAAGTATTTCATGATCTAATAGAACAACAAATCATAAGATTTCGGTCAAACGCGTTTCGTAGAAAGAATCAAGCAAGGGAATTTAGAGAGGAAAAAGTAACGATAAGTAAATTATTAAAGTGCGCTTGCTTTGAAGATCAGCCTCACGGAAATATTATTAAAAAAGCTATTCGATACGGTTGCCGCGTTCATATAAAGTATCATCATCACGTAACTGGATACACATAGATATTAGCTGTAGCTGTTTGACAGCTGTAGTTGGAAGACGGACGCAATACAATCAAAATGACTGAGATAGGTGGTTGGTTGTTGCTGCTGCCGTGAAACAACAACGGATCTGCTTATATGATAGTGAATTGTTTAATGAGTAGATGAGAATTAGACTGAAAGTGAGTGCATCTATAGGTTGAGAAGGATGTAGCTGATTATGCTGAAAGCAGAAGGACAATTCGTTGGGATAAAGGAGAAATGATGAGATTTTCATGCAACAACAACAATTCATTAACGTCTTATCAACAATTTAAGTGTTGCGCTCCGTTCATCGCAATAACCACGACACATTCATTCCCTCCTCCAACATCAATCCTTCAAAGATTCTAAAAAAGAAAAAAAAANAAAAAAAAACATTCGTGTCATCACTGACTGAACCACTAGAAGAATTATCTTAAGCTTTTGGGAAGCATTTTCTCATTTACATTCTGTTCAATTCAATCACACTTTATACCGTTCTTCAGTTTGCTTTCTATATCTTCATGAAGGCAAATTTTTTGTTAACTTTGTATCAATTTGATAATTTCAGCAGCATCAAACATTGAATTTTGTCGTCGTCATATCCGATTACCTAATAATGATGAATGCACCTTTGCACTAGTTTCAAATCAAACGACCGTAAGTAATTGATATTAATGGATTCAAATCCTAAAAATGCTGGAATGTATATAATAGATATTAGTTGTAATACTGAAATCAACAAATGACCGATAAGGAAGGATGCTGCTTCCTCATGGGAGATTGATTCAATGCACAACGACTGGTGCTCGTTTCGAAAATGATATAAGCTCACAAGAGGTATTATGTAACAGTGAAACAACACACGCAATAATTAACCCAACACTCTACATTAACAACACTAAACCTCTTCTGCAATTCATAAAGGAATCGAATCGTTATTGCTTCTATTCACTCAATATATTAACTACTAGCAATTTCAATCACGTAAAATAATAACAGTAAGTACAAAATATAATCCCACCTTGAGTAACAAGTACTCATCAATATTGTTTCGCCTTTTTCACACCCAGAAAAACGAGAGGAGGTAACTCATCAAATTTTCAAAAGATGGATAGAAAAAATCAAACGAAAATAGCACTTGTTCCAGGGGAAGAGGAGAAGGCAAGGAATGGGCAAAGCAGCGCAAGATTACTCCAAAACATTACGGACACTCTTTCCGTTCGAAGATCAAAGTATTGAAAACGTGTTAACAACAAAGTTTGCAAACTGTTTTGAAGAATGAATGCTATCTAGCCGTATACAGTCAGTTCCAGCTCTGCTGAACACTGTGCAGAAAAAAGTGATGATTTCAAATCACGATATTTCATTGGATATTTTTGTAAGGAAAGTGCGGTGCTGCTGGCCAACTGCATCAGATGAAAATTCGATAAAAGGAAAAGCAGTCGAGATTGTTTGCAAGAACTGCTACTTCAAAAAAGCAAGTCCAATGAAATGCAGGCGGGCTCTCTTCTCTAAATTGGCCATAATTCAATTTGTGCAAATCAGATCAACGCCCCACCCGACCAAACATACTGCTATTGCTCATTTTTTAACATTATATGTACAAGTTTGCCTAAATCTCTTGCCGTTAATCGTCCCGTTCATCTACTACCGTCATCATCACAAATGAATAATCATACCTCTTCAAAATTAAATCAAATCAAACCGATGTGTTATCACGGTCACATATCAACTACCCAACTTGCTAACAGACAATTCTATCGTTAATAAAAAATATCTCGAATGAATAATCACCGTATAGAAACAATAGCTAAATAATGAATTGAGTAAGAGAATTAATTCAATCAAATAGGAAACAACAACAACAACAACAAAATAGTATTTATAGAAGTAAACAAGAATAAAGATAAAAACTGGTGCGTTGCTAATTTGCTGATATGACTAAAATAGTGCTTTCAACAGCGTTGAATTAACGGCAGTTATGCTTCTTTTGCATCGAGTGCACAAAATTAGCACGATTACTAATTCATTCATTATGCAAGATAGTCAGCTAATAACCAATCAGTTATGAATCTTCAAATTTTCTCTAATTTTTTAATTTTCACAGAAAAACGTCAATGAAATCAACCAAAAAATGTATCACAGTAAATGAAAATAATCGTACAATGGTTTCTTGATAGACTGCGCAAGAGAAACTGATTTCTATGAGCTACAATCTACTTAAATTTTTATGCTCGAGATAAAGCAGCCAAACAGAGCAAAAATAAATGCATAAAACGCTTTTTGAATGAAAATTTCAGAAAAAATTGGCGATACGCAAAATTCTTTATATTAACAAATTCATGATCACCATTATTAATTCCATGAAACGAATAGCTGCTCAAAGGGGATCTAAATAAAGCACTACTTACAGTGGGTGGTCGGCAGAATTTACTCAAAGAATGATGATGGCTTTACTATAGTTGCATGATTATTCAATCAAATTTATCGAATAGAATAAATCTTTTACGCGTTCAGTCAGTCGGAAGAGATTTCCGATAAGAAGTGCGATACCAATGCCTACAATGCAAAGACCAGAAACGATATATATATATATATATA